GCCTTTACAGTGTTTCTTCCCTGTTCTCATATTGACTCATAAGCAGTTGGTTAATTTTTCCCCCCTATCCTCTGTCCAACTTTCCGTAGCAAGAAACAGTGAGTAAATGGCTTTTGTGGATGCCTGGCTTGTGGCCAATGTCAAACCACAACAGTGACCTGTAGGAAAAGCGTTCAAGAAAAATATCCTTGGAGTTAATCAGAAAAGAGGGAGAAATATTAACACTTGAACAGGCAGATAAAACAATGTAGAAGTTTGGCTAGCAACATTTTCTCCCTCCTTCTCTTTGTTCTTCCCCATCTGGGACTGAGTTCTCAGTACACATGCTTTAGGCAAGCTGTAAAGGTTTATCCACATTCAGGTTATACAGCTTCTCCAGTTATGCTAGCAGATCAAATTTTGGAGCTTAATTTTGCTTTCTATAGCTCCTACAAAACATGTTAGATGTGAATGGTATCACTTTACAAATCCACAGGTTTGCTGCAGGCAGGAAGAAATCTCTTGGTTAGAGCATGGTGTTAATAACACAAGGGTCATGTGTTGGTTCCCTTTTTTGACCACTCACTTAAGGATTGGACTTAATGATCTTTGCAGATGTCTCCCAACTCAGGATATTCTATGATTCTTCTATTTGCAATAATATTGATGAGCAATAGAAGATTGAATAGGCCATAAGGATTGTTTCTTTTAAAAGAGAAAAGAGGAGAGGAAAATCAAAGGATGACCATATCAGAAAATAAATACTTAAGTTGTTGAGTAATGACTAACTAGGTGACAGTAAACTCTATGTGCTTTGAAAGTAGATCTCCAAGACATCTTACTGTGTAAATGCTGATGGGAACTGTGTGGGACATTGTCTTGGACAAGAAGCACTCAGTGTGTAGGGAGGTTTCGGTAAACAGGACATAGTAGGAGGTGACAGTAACAAAATGCACACTTCCAGAGCTGGATGCCTGTTTTCAATTAAGCACCATTCTATGAGAAAGGAAGTGTTCAGCACCATCATTTCTCATCAGTGTTACCACTGGCTTGTGTCCACCTTATCACCTTCTATCAGATACACAGGGTCTAAGGCCTCCTCATGCTCTGGAGTATAAATTGAGTGGATGGACCTGGGTGCGTGGCTGAAGTAGAGATTTGAAAGGATTTGAAAGGTTTGGTCTTAGGAACATAGCCTGCTCCCTGTACTGCTGATGGTGAATGCTCTTTCCAGTTTGTATTATTGAAACACATATCTAAAGGGAGAAAAAAAAAAAAAGCATTATAAGGAGCCAAAAGTGATAAAATTTTTAGAGGTAATCTGGCTCTAAAAGTATATTATTTTCCATTTCTATGTTCCTTTCTGAAGAAAGCATCTGTAAAAGAAGGCTGTACATCTGTACAGTAGAGTCAAAGGGAGAGACATGGCAAGCCAGTGACAATGGGGTGTGATCCCATGGGAGCATGAACTGGGAGCCCTGTGCCCAGGCGCTGTGGCACCACATCCACTGCTGCCCTGGGCACATGCTGCCCCATCCCTAAGGATGAGAATACATACATAAGAGCTTCCCAAGAATTGCTGGTTCTAATACATAACAGTGTGGCACAAAAAATTAGTGAAGACACCAAGTTCCTAACACAAAACCAAAATGATCCAAAGGCAAGGACAGTGCTTTCCTAGGTCTACTAAGGAATGAAGAAGAATTTGACTCAGTCATTTATTTTTATTTTAGTGAGGGAACAGCAGGACAGATTTTTATTGTAAGTTGACCTTACCAACTCTGACCTGGATGGAATTACATTGTATGCAATGCATTTAGTGACGTTTTAAATGCTTTTGAGGAAAGAAGCTTGTTTAGAGGCTACAGGCACCACTACTGTAAGGTTGGTAGCACACAGATAAGAAAAATTATTTCCCAAAACTTTGCTGAACCTTTTTACAGGTTCTGTTTAAAATAAAGCCACTTACTTTTCCAACAAAATTTTAGTATTTTTTCACCTTTTCAAGTACACATAGTGGTTGAGAGGGCTAATCAATATTTTACAGTTCAGCATGATACTCAGATCTGGTTTCTAGTGGTCTCCTCCCCAGCAAGTCAAATTATAACAGCCATATCTAGTTATTTTCATGCTCTCTAGTGTTGATTTGGATTATAGCATGTTATTTGTTCATCCTCTGCAGCTGTTTTAGCAATGACTAAACCATTTTTACACCACTTGCAAAATAAAATGAAAAGGCATTTTTTTGGTCATTAATGTTAGAGATTACATTAATTTCTTTTTTAAAAATTTTCTCAGCATCTTGTAAGGTTAAACTGTGGTCAGATCAAAAAAGATGAAAAATATGAAAATGAAAAAGGCCTTATCAGGAATTTATTTAAATATTGCACCGAGCATGTTAGACCCTTCTCATTCATCCCCCAGCTCTTGGAGACCTCCAGTGCAAAGCCATAATTGATGATCTACTGGCAGGCTTGGACTTTCTTTCTGTACTTTCTTTCTTTTTGTACTTCTGGATCCTGTCTAAAGTGGGGAGAGATCCAACGACCTGATGCAGTTTGCCTGTTGCAAAACACTGCTAACAAACTTTGTGCCATGCTCGCATTTCTGGCTAGGGTTCACCTAAATAGGGACGAAGAACTTAGAGCCAGCAGACTGTATTTTGTCTGCAGTCAGGCTGCATGCTGGTGGCAGGCTGTAAGGCAGGTGCATGCTCAGCATTACCTGATACAATGCTTCTAGTGATAACATACCAATCCCTGCAAAAGCCTTGCCTTGCTAAATTAAGCAAATCCTCCCATGTGAAATTAGTTATACCAGTGTTGGCTGGTATATGGTATAATCAACAGAGACCATGTTGATTACAAATCTTCCTCCACCAGTATTAATGCAACATGCAGCTGGCATAACTGGAAAATTAGCAAGCTTCCTTACGCATGTTTAGTGCCTGACACACCCTTGTCTCCAGATGTTGTATAGCACAAGCTGGTTCTATAGCTTGCTTCATATAGAAAATGCACCTTATATCCAACATTATGGAAGAAAAATGGAAGAAAGACTCAAGAGCAGAAGGTATGGGTAAAACAGCATATACATCAATGGTTTCACTTCTCCTGGTCAGATGTTTACTCCTTCCTCTTCCCCCTGAAACAAGCTCTTAATTTTCTTTCCCAACAGGCAGTGCAAGGTGCAGTAAGCATGAAGATATGGTTAGCTTTTCCTGTTAATTTAAGCATGTCAGTCTAAATTGCAGTACTTTCCTGGTTCAGTTTCTTCAAAAAGCTACCACGTTCTGCTTTGCTGCGTGGCCATGCTCACCAGTTCGTAGAATCATCAGTTCATAGAATGGCTTAGATTGGAAAGGACCTTACAGATCATCCAGTTCCAAGCCCCTGCTGTGGGCAGATATTCCTTCCACGAGACCAGGTTGCTCAGAGTGTCCAATCTTGGCTTGAACACTTCCAAGGATGGAGCATCCAGAACTTCTCTGGGCAACTCATTTCAGTTCCTCACAAACCTCTTAGTAAATTTCTTTCTAAATCTAATTTAAATCTACTCTCCTTCAGTTTGAAGCCGTTATGCCATATCCTATCCCTGAAGGTCCTGATAAGTCTCCCTCTCTTTCTTATCAACTTCCTTCAGGTATTGAAATGCTGAAGTAAGGTCACCCCAGAGTCCTCTCCAGGCTGAACAACCCCAGCTTTCTTAGCCTATCCTCACAGAAGAGGTGCTCCATTCCTCTGATTGTCTTCAGTCTTCCTCTGATCACAGGCTAAAAAGCAGTCCCCCAGGCTGTCATTCCAGGAATCACAAAGGTAATTATTTTCAGCCAGCAAAGAGAAGATGTCCATGGTTTCAAGATGGATTTGGATTTTGCTGAAAAACAAGACCATCCCTAATGTGATATTAAACAAAATGAGAATGTAACTTGAGTATCTCCATTTGTGGGGTCTTAGGTTTGCAAACTATATAGACATATCATTCTCATTCATGTACTTAAAAATGGCAAAACCTTGAGAACAAAAATCTATGCTTAAATCCATTAAAGAACAGACACAAACTAACAACAGATCATGGTTAGAAAGTCTCTCACTGTCACACCGTATGCAGAAAGATTAGGTCTCGTATCACTTGTGCTGAAGACAGCTTTTTTCCACTGCTGTACTTCTTGGCAGATTCCTGTGGCAAATCCTATAAGCAAATTCCTACTTAACTGGATTTCCATTTTCATGTACAGTCCTATTACCTACATGCTTGTTTCTAAAACTGAATTTCTGTTATTTTTGCTTTACTGTTCTTTGTAGCAAAAGACTAGTCAACAGAATGAAGTTAGCTATTGGTTAGCTAAATACCACAGCCAGTTCAGTAGATATGGACATGGTGTAAAATGTGAAAAACACCCATGCTAGCAGGGATAAAGGACATTTTCCTTTCCAAGTCCTAAATATATGTTTGATGACTAACCATGTGCAAGAAAGCACATTTGAAAACTGCATAACAAGATGATGAATAGAGCTGTTCCACTGTATTTTTTGGAGAGCCATTTACTTATTGTGAAACAAAATCTCACAAATTTTTGTGAAATTAATTCTCAAAAATACCACATTCCTAACCAAAATGCCTGGCATACACTAATGGTAGCAAAACCAAAAACAAGCTAGCTCCAGCTGCTGGAAATTATCTCCCATGCCAAACACCGCACCAAGCAATAGCTGGGTTTTGGTTCCTCATATTCTGAAAACCATACAGTCTGTTTTGAAGTGGAATATGTAAAAACATAAAATGAACAATTTCAGTGTCCAGAGATTTAAAATAATGCTAAGAAAGTAAGTTAATAGATAATTCTAGAAATAATGACACATAGGAGGAAAAAAAAGGCCTGGAAAGGTATTTTCACTTTTTTCAGGAACAAATGGATGGACAGAGTGATTACATATATAATAATTTATTCAACCTGATAGATATAGTTCAAAATACTGAACTGGAATTTCTACAATAAACTGAATAACGCAAAGGAATTGTCTGAAAAAAAAGTTTATTAGAAAAACACTCAACTATTATTAAGAAATAATTTTTCCCCTCTACATTAATGTATTTACATATACTATACATCTTTATATATATATATATATATATATCTATGCACACACACATACAGAGGTTTAATTTGAATTGTGTATTACTACATTGGATCCATAAAGCCATGTATCATACAACAACTTGGTTTAAGGTTTTGCATTTCTTGGATATAACAGTCTTCTTTTTGTCTCTAACTGTGTGAAAATTAAACAATTTGAAGACATGTTATCTCAATGCATTGCTAGTAACTTCCTGTAGACACTGTTATTCACATTAGTAGTCAACGTAGCCCTTCTAGTACTAGTGGTAGACATCAACTGGCCACTGCTGTTACTACTGTTAGGATCAAAAGTCTTTTTACAATTGAAGAGACTGAAAAATTGTCTCTGATACTGAGAAGAAGCATAGTAGTAAATAAAGGGGTCAATGCAGCAGCTAATGCTGCTGATAGAAACACAGAGTAGGTAGGCAAAGTAGAGATACTCTAAGCTGCTGTCATATGAAAAAAGGATATAATGAATTAAGAGGAGAACATTTGTTGGTCCAAAGCAAATAACGAAAACAGAAAAAACAGCCACACACAAGAGCAAGGCACGCGTCTTCTTATTTTGCTTTGCAACAATGGTGGAAGAACTAAGACAACGAATGATACACACATAACAGACAGTAGAAATTATAAATGGCACTATAAAAAACACAGAAGAGAAGACAGAGAAGAAGTGGAGGTAATAGCCGTGAAGTTCGGATTCTCTCAGCACATCGTGGCACGTAGTTATATTTAACCTGGGTATTTCCACTGTTTGCTCTCGTAGCAGAAAAGGTATAACCCCAGTTATTGCTACAAGCCATATGATGAAACAAACCAATGAGGCACGAGTTAGTGTACGCCACCCCAGGGACTGCATGGGGTACACCACTGCTAGGAAGCGATCGAAGCTTATGCTTGTCATAAGCATTATTGAGCAGTACATGTTGCAGAAGAAGGCAGCAGTGATGAAACGGCACATCTGAGGCCCAAAAATCCAGTCATTTCCAGAAAAGTGATAAACAATCTTAAATGGAAGCACACTTACAAAGAGAACATCTGCAAGGGCCAAATTCAGCATGTATATTACAGCTGGCTTTTCAATTTTCATCTTTTTCAGAAACACGAGTATTGCTGTAATGTTCAGAGGGAGACTCAGCAAAAGCACTAGGGTGTAAACTGCAGGAACAAAACGAGTCAGCCACGGACTAGTGAGGTATCTTGCTGTTTGAACTGATATCATTCCTTGTTCTTGTAGGAATGCTGCAGTCTGATTGGTGGCTCCTGATCCAACTTCCAAGTCATTTTCAGTATCACCATCAACAGGAATAAGATCAGCCTCCGGACTGGAAGAAAAACGGATGGAAAAACTTCTGATGTGTGGTATGCTGCTGTTATTTGGAAAGGCTGAAAAGTAAGAAAGTATTAAGATTAGTAAGTCAATATTTAGATGGTATGGGGAAGTGAAAACATCTTTCAAGAAGGAAAGGTAAGATTACATTAGGTAAACAAAATAATAAGGTTAATTTCTGATTCAAAGCACAGGTTGCCCACAGGTCAGCTATTTTATTTTAGCTCCTCCTGCTACAAATTTAGGTAAGATGTCCTTCTTTGTCTCCCATCTCTTAGTTTGAAAGCTTTTATTAGTAGTGATTCTAGCTATGCTTAAGGATCCAATGTAATCTATGCTCTCCATGGGCAACTTTCACACAAACACAACAGGGAATCTTCCAGCCTTGAACTGTCTTGGCCAGATCCTTCAAACATTTTCTAAGAAATGAGATGCTGGCATAAGTATTCATACACAAAATTCCCACTAGAAGTACTCATCACCAAAATCACAAAAAGTAAAGGTGCAATGAAAGCATCATGGTTTTGGAATATTTCTGTGTGCTCTGGAGACATCTTACTCAACTCAAGGCTCCCATCAAGAGAGATGGCAGAGCAGCTTTCAAGGTAGATGTGCATCAACCTTTTGCTTATAACAGATGGGTAGCCACAGATTGTGCTGAAACACTTCCCAAGTTCTATTTATCCTAACCCACAGTGTGCAGGACAGCATGTATCTGCCATACCCCCAGGGCACTTCTGAAACCACAGTTCCCTCTACAGCAAGGTTTCTGCAGCATGCTTTTGTAGCTAGGTCAGGACAGGCTATCTATGCTTTTTGAATGTAGTAAGCCAGGAAATTAGTGCAATAAAGCATTAACTATGTGGCAGGGGGTTGTTTATGTAAAAAAGAAAAAAACAACCAATCAATCAAAAGAGCTATTGAGGCATTATTTCAGCAAAGTTGTTTGTATGGGGAAATATTTTGTAAGACTGTAATTTTCAGTTTTGGCTTAGTCTGCATTGGCATAGAATAATTCAAGTGTACTGTTAGTAGACAGAGGTGAGAAAGTTACAACTACTCAAGTAACCAGTCACCTGTTTGACTGTGCAGTTGATCCTTTGTTGGATCCTAGATCATTGAAACAAAAATGAGGGTGTCTTAGCTCAGATCCATGAGCTGAAAGTACATGGTAATGATTCACCTGTGTAAAATGCTGCTTGTTAGAAGCAATTATTTGTTTTGTCGTAATTGAAACAATTTTTTTTAGCCAGAACATCTGAAGGAAGCAGATGGCAAAGAGAGAAGTGGCTGCAGCTTTAACCAGCCAGTTACACAGTGCACAGGCAGTGACGGAAGGCCTTACCCGGCATGGATTTTTGTGAAATTCAGACTTGAATGTGGGGGGAGATCAGAGGACTGGTAAGGCAATTTGGTGATTTTATTTAGAGTGGCTGTGCTTTATGTACCATGCTGTGTCACAGCAGCATTCCAGGGGCAGAGAAACAAAAGGGAAGTGTTGGAGAGAATAGTTTTCATATGCAAAGTGACTAGATTGCAACCTCTGCCAGTCAGAAAAAAAGATGCTGGGAGCTTGTTACAGAGACTGTAGTAGGAATGATGTAGTTTGAAGCAGAAATGATAGAAGTACGTGAGATTTGGTGATTGCACAAAAGGGCAATAAACACATTTATACAAAGGTCTATTCTGTCTTTTTGAAGAGAACATGAACAACAGGCAGAACTATAGAGCCTTAATCTTTAACACTTTATAAATTTAGTCCAAGCAGTTGGACGGCTCAAAGAGTCAGCTCCTAGCTTTGCAGCTAAGCTGCAGCACAAGTCCTTTTGTACCACACCTCCAGCCTGTGGCTGACATCAAAGAGTTAGGAGAGTTTCTATATTTAATGATCATTGCAATAGAAATATGTCACAAATTACATCACTGGCCTTCATCTCTTTTGGATAACTATACTTGAATGAACGCACGCCCCCCATTTTCCCCCCCCCCCCCCCATTTCTTACATCCGGAAGCTTTTCTCCATGGTAAAGACATCAATAAAAGTGAGGAAAAATTTGTCAACTGTACCTATTATATCTCCAGTACACACAAGTTTTATTAATACTTTTAATTCTATGAGTATTTATTTTCAAACCAGAATACTATTGAAAGAGAAGACAATGATAATTTTAGTCCCCCAAAGGTCGACATGGCCATCTTGCTTTCTCCACCACTGTAGAACAGTGCAGAGAACCAAAGAGACGACACGGTTCCATGTGAGGAATGCATGTTCTTGGGAACACAAGATATAAACAGACTTGAAGAGAGAGAGAGAGAGTAAAGCCCGGAGATAGGAACTGTGTTGCCAACACTACTGCTGCTTGACATGGTAACTGAGGCACCAGCACCTCTCTCATCCCAGTATCCTTCAGCTTTGAAGGGCCTGAGCTGTGCTGCAGCTTCACACTTTTGAGAACTAGTGTTGTGTTATGTGACTTGGTTTGTTCCTGCTCTCCCCTCTTTATGGTTTCAACCTAAGTTGCCTCCCATTCACCAAATGTCAATCCTATCCCCACACCCCCCAGTTCACTAGAAACTTTCCTGCCAATCCTCCCTCCCTGGTACCCTGTCTGTCACTCGGCTTTCCGTCCTCCTCTCTGGAAGCTTCCACAAGGGGCTACGAGTGATTGGTCAAGGGCCAGGGGTCTCTCCTACTAAGCTCCCTGATGTGTTGTTCTGTTGGTCAGTTACTCCTTGTTTCACACTCCTTTATCCCCTCATTGGCAGATGGCTGAACTCCTCCCTTGTTTCCACCCCTCAATAAAAGGTGCTGCTCCCACTGTCTCAGGGGATTTCTGGTGTTGGGAGCCCTTTGGAGCTTCTAGTAAAACTTTGGACTGAATATCCTCTGGATTGTCTACTCCCTTCCTTCACCATCATCGGCCTTGTCTCTCTGAGGAAAGGGCTGACAACCCTTAGCCGCCCTTCTGCACTCCTGAGCGCAGAAGAGTGTCCCCTGCAGCCGCAGTGTTGGGGCTAGCAGGGGGCACCAAACTGCGACAAACCAGCAAACCAACTCAGAGTCACTGACCCTTAATGACTGAGGTTAAGTCTCTTAGTGTGGATGCTCTGGGTTACGACCCACTTCTCATTAATAACTCCTAACTAAAAACAGTATAAAAATATGCTACAAGAAAAAAATGCTATGACTGGACAAGTACCTTTCACTGACTACCGGCCATTGTCTTACCTATTGCTTATAATTAACTGAACATGGCTAATAATTTTATTTATATCCTGAATTCTTGGAGACATCTTATTTACAAGTTTATTAGATGAAGGGATTTAGAGTCACTTTTACTCCATTACAGAAATTTTCTAAAAGTAGAATCTTACTACAATAAATTAGAACAAAAAAAAAAATCATAAATAAGTTTAGTTAAAATTATCTGGAATAATCCAATGAAAACTCTGTGTTCTTTGTATAAGCAAAGGCTTTCTAAGTTCAGAGTTGAACTCAACCTTCATTCTGTCAACATCACCTCCATGCTGACTCCTGTTCTCAATCCATGTCCCCATTTTGACTTAGATGACATGAGGTACTACTTGTACTACTTGCAAGCCAGCTTTCTGGAAAAATGTAATGAGGCATGACACTTGCTATTTTCGTGCCACTTGATAATATAAAGAATGGTGACTTAAACTTTCTTGATGAAACTAAATTTTATTTGAAAGCTTGACAGCCATGTATCAGTTCTTATCCTTCACTAAGCTGCTTGTATGACACAGTGTCTATAATTCTAGAAAAAACAATATGCACTCCACACTTTCTGAAACAGAAAGGCAGACAGATACTGCCCTGAGGTTTTGTATTCCTTTTGTGTCAGTGTTTATATCAAAAAGCTGAAGAGAGAGATTTATTCACAAAAAGGAACAGGATGAAACAATGTCATATTATTTCAAAAGATTGTAATGAACCTTCATCGCAAAAAAAAAGGCCAGTATAGGACAGCGGCATTACCTTTAAACTGGGTTAGTACAAGACTGCCAACATACAGTAGCTCCACAGAAAATGTTTTGAAACTACTGGTAGTTACAACTACACCAGAATCTGTGAAATTATTCTTTCTAGCTGTTTTCAAGCTATAGATATCATTTGTCTAAAACATATTTCACTACAGCTTAATTACTTTTTAATAATTCAAATAATCTATAAGAAAAACAGAAGTAAAGCTTGTATAATGATTACAAATGTTCAGAAGGTCATCTTATTTTTCTAGGCTGTCATCCAGTCCTTTTGGAAGTCAAGCTTGGTTGATTTCTATTTTTATAACAAATAGAACTCTGTCACATCAGCGATGAGAATAACCACTCTGTCAAAATACCTATAAAATTTAAACGGGTATGAAAGAACAAGATTAGTAAACTATGAACAAATAAACAGCAGGATAAAACATTGAGGTTTTATCCTTGTGGCATGTGTACTCAGGACACTGAATGATAAGCAGAGTCTTTTCTTTGGCTCCAGTAAGTACTTCACAAGGCAAAAAACACATAGAATCAGTACGATGCTCAAGATGCCCAAAGTCTTCTTTTAGTCCCTGTGGTTTTTTCATCAGTTCTCCAACACGGACCCAAGAATTATGTATAAAGCTCATCAAGTTTGTGATTGCTTAATTTTAACAATCCACAATGTGCTATTTTCTATCAATTATTACATATTGTTCATCTCACAATCAGTATACACATACGCTGCTTACCCTAACATTTTTTTAAAATACAGAGATACACTGTAATTTCTTTTCATGTCTGTTTTCATATGCAAGGGATTACTCTGCGTCCCACTTTGTGAAATAAAACAGCTTTGACCCATCTTAAGCTCCAGAAGAAACTTTAAAAATACTTCTGTAGGCCCATGAGTATGGACAGGATGTTATAAACCATCAGACTTCACATCCCAATCTCTTCACATCTTTGTGATGTGAGAGACTAGAGAATAGGCTCCTTAAGCCAATTAAGTATATTCCGTGTGCGCTGGTGGACAACAAAAAATACTGATTTATGGGCATTACTGGTGACAGCTGCATACAAACTTGTAACAAATAGGTTTATTTTATCTCTCCTTTGTATAATCCCAAGTGATAAGCATCTAGAATCTAAATTACTTAGTAGCCCATAAATTAGGCATGTGAAGGCAGACTGTGAAGTGCACGCCAGACACATTAATAAACAAAATAAGACACGATCTTATAGGAGTGATGACAGTTATTTGCTGTCATAAAAATAAAACTGAATTGTTTATGAGTTCACATCTCCATTTATACAGAATTCATTATTAGATTACTGATGTAGTAGCAATCTGAACACATTTTCTTGAACTATTGTTTTCTTGCATCTGGGTGTCAGCTCTGTTTTGTTCTCCTTTCTCATCTCCTTAACCACATATGCTGCCTTCAACCAATATAATCTATCTTGACAGTAGTGTCCCATGGCAGGGAAGTCAAGGCAAGTTCAGACCTTAGGCACCTCAACAGCACTGGTCAGATAATTTGTAGGCACTTAACACCAACGAAGTGCCAAACTAGTGCTTTTTCACCTGCCCAAAGGAACAACGCAGGTCAATAATGTGGTAACTGTGCACAGTGAAGGATGGGGGAAAAGCAGGAGCAAAGCTGGAGGTCAAGGCCAGAGCAGATCTCAGGATACAAGAGTGCACGGGCAACAGGAATGAAGTACATTGTGGTAAAAACAGCTTATCTAGGACAGTGAGGAAATTATATTATTACAATTGGAATAAGCACAAGAAGAGCAGAAGGCATATTCAGATGATTGGGTTTTGTTAGTTCTGTTGTGCATGAAGTAACTGGAAGAATACCACCAACAGTGACAATTTTTTCTAGCATTAACATGTACAGTTTATTTTTTACACCAGCACCCCCTTTTCTTAAAAAGATATTTTCTTTATACTTCCCATATGAACATGATTTCAACAGCTTCCTTCCCAATTGTCCTTGTGCTAAAAACATGTCTAGCAAAAATTACTTGCCCTCTCTTGATGCTTCCCTCCCAGCATAGTTACAAACACTGGGTCTATCCCCTTTCAGTTTAGCTCAGTAGTCAAAGTATGTTATGCTCTAAAATTTCCTTTTAGCTGCTCATCTAATTAACCCTTTTATGTATGTAGGACCTGAGGCTTTACTGCAGGCCATCTCGCGGGACTAAGTTATTTCTACAGCAGCACTATCACCACTAGCTGATTGAAAGAAGTCTTAAACTGGATCAAGCAAAATCGTAATATCAAAAAAGCCTGTGCCAATCTCTAAATGCTCAATCTTTTGTACTGCTGTACCTCTGCCATGAGGTGTGAGGTTACAAGCATGCATGTCTTCTCTCACCTTCCTTACCTCAGCATCTCCATCGGATCCATGGGCTCACCAGTTAGGGCAATGCTGTTGCTATTAGTGAATAACCGTGAAATAACCACGGAAGTCATCTATCTACTTGGGGTGCATATTCTGAACTGTTTAGTGCTGGCAGATCTTCCCAAGTCTGCGCCGCATAGAAATTCAGCCGGCACGCCGTTAATGAAAGGTTAAGAGAATCCAGCAGCAAGTCTCGCCGATCTGGTCCGTTCCACCACCACCTGCTACTGCCTGCCCCTCTCCTACGGCGTCAACCCCAGCCATCCTTCACCACCAAGAACAGCCTCTCCTCGCCGCTGCTACGAGCACAAAGACCCGAAGAAAACTCGGCCCGAACTCGCACTGAACCTCCCAAGCGGGAGCCGCACGGCTGCGTGTGGGCACAGGAAGCTGCACAGCGCCCGGTCGCTTTCAGACCGCTGCCCGCGCTGTCGGAGCACGCCGGCCGCCAGGCCCCGCGGCCGGCCCCCGCCTCCCCGCGGACCCACCTGGCCGGGGAGCCGGG